ATATATATATATATATATATATATATATATATATATATATATATAGATAGATAGATAGATAGATAGATGGATGGAAAAAAATCCATCAGGTATTCTTAAAATATTTCCATTTATTTCATCTTAATACAACTTGACACAAACACATATTTACACAACCTAATTTTTTCGAACAAGTCAAATATAAAATGATCTTACATCTGCTGAATATCTCAACAGAATCACAAAATCAGTAAAACACACCTTGATTTTAAGAATGATGAAAGTCCTACTTATAAAGTAGATAGTATGTGATAACCTTTTAGATTTACATAAATTGTAATGCCAGTCTGAGTGTTTCATCCTCTGACTTTTCAAATACTTAGTACTCATTTGTTTCTACATGCCGTAGAATTAGAATCAACAGAAAGGACATTAAAGATGTTTTTTGAGCTGAAAACAAAAATATAAGACTGTACTGTGATTAAAAACAAAGAAAGGCTTGTGTTAATATTGACATTTCTTAGTAAATTTATGAGAATCTGAATTTCATGGGTTTAAACACACCACCAACTAGGTTATATCAGCTCTAAAACTTAGAGAGTCAATGTTGACATAGAGTCAACCGGATGGGACTTGAAATTATATAGTAAAAATAATGCCCAGGTAGAGTTAGGCTCAGAATTGGGGGTGAAGTTACACATTAATGAGATAACCATCTGAATATCCATTGTGCTTATTCTATTTCTATGCTTATATACACTCTCCACCATGTTTCCTACACTGTATTAGGGTGTCCTTGTAGGCCTCTCAGTGTCTTCTCATCAAACCGGTAGGTGAGTTTCCGCTTCACCTTCTTTATCTCACCGGTGCGAGAGTAGTTCCTCAGCGCCCGGGCCATCTTCTGGTAGGTCATGGTCTTGCGATTACCCTTTCGCCGTCCCCACAGCTGCGCCAGGCGCTCCTTGTTTTGGGAGGAGAACTGGAACGTGCCAGAGGAGGATTGGACCCACCAGATGCAGCTCCGCATCGATGGAGTCTGGAGCATCTCGAACAGGAACTGGAACAACCGCTCCTTCCTCTTTCCTGTCCAGGAGGAAGGGAGTGCAAATCCAAATATGAGGTAACAATGACTCATACATGTCTGTATGTGTGAACAAACAACCCAACAGAGAGCTTTACACTAAACACACATATACATACATGTTGTGTAGATATGTTGAAGTTTTTTATTGTTGAGAGTTTTGGGGATGCGTGTGTATATACCTGAAAGTGGGGCAAGAGGCAGGGAGTCTCTGTCATTCCTGCCTCCCCTGTCAGACAATGGTGATGGGGAATCTTGGTATTCCTGGTACTGGGAGCTACTGGACAGCGAGTCTGAGTCAATGTATGCAGGTACCTCGTAGGAATACGCAATGTGGTCCTGTAGCAAACGCGTATAAAAGCACATCAATACACACACAGTGATGTATTGTCACATTTAGCTATGAAAAAGGTGATAAAGCTTTAATTTTCTAAGAGGCCGAGGTCCTTGAACTCACCCATTGGTTGTCATGGGGGCTAGGCCAGGTGGGGGGCAGGGCTTGCTCTTCATATTCCTCATTCGGAGTGTGAGAGCCACAGTGCCACTCATATGGATGCTGACCTGACCAACTGTTCTCTACGGAGAAACAGGCAAAACATACAGTCAGATAAACGATGTAGAAATATACGAGCACCTACATTGTCCCATTATCACTCCACTAACCTATGATCCTGGTGCCATGGTGGGAGTGTGCGTGCATTTGTTGCCCCACGGTGGTTGGAGGGGAAGCGTGTGTGTGTGCAGGCTGGACCTCCAGTGAGTGTTCCTGCAAGTACTCCTCGATGACCTCCAGGTCCACCTCAGGGCAGGAGGAGGGAGCCACTCTGCTCCAGGCCCCCCGACCTCCGTTCAGTCGGATCTCAGTTACATAAGCCATCTGACGGACACAGAGCAGGACAGAGGCGTTCAGAAATCATACACACTCTGTTATTTTTACTTTGGGAGAGTTTGTTGTGTGATGCTGACAGAGAAAAAATACTTTGCATGATGGGTGGCATTTATCCTGTATGAGGTGCTGTTATCATCAGACCTCACACTTGCTGTTTATTTTTTCACGAAAAGCCATTGTTGTTTTATTGTGGTGCATCACACAGTGAATAATTTTACCCAGCGGTGATCATTCTTGTAATATTATACTTTTTTCCCCCATCAAACATAGATTTGATTCGACACAAGCTAATGTCATTCACATTCAGCAGTGAGCTGTATACGAGGTGGGGGTCGGTGTGTTTGTTTGTCTTGGGAATGAGCCAGGTAACAACACTGTGACCATGTGTATTTAAGTTTGACTGGCAAATTTATGCAATTGCTTATGCTTTCACCAGCAGAGATAACATTCAGGTAACAGTGATGTGTGGCTTAGCTGCTTTTCTTACAAACAACCTTTCACCCTTAGCCAACATCAGCCACACATCAGTTGCAAACACAATATTAGACTACGCTTTTACTGAAACATTCATAATATAAATGATTTATCTTTTTCATTCATGGGCTACTTAAAAACAAAACTAAGAACAACAACACTGACACAATTATTGAAATAAAATGACTCACCGTCTCCATTTGGGCCAGCATACTCAAAGAATAATCTGGAAAGAGAAAGGACACGTGTGAGACACCAAAATCAAAACTCACGAGATGAAGTGAGAAGTGAAAGAAGCTGTCACACATACTTCTCTAACTTGTCTGACAGACAATCAGAACCTGAATGAATAAGCATGAGTATATCTGTACCTTGTTAAGTCAGAGGTGTGCACTCCTGTGTCTGGTGCAGTGAAGTAGTATCCTCAGGCAGGGGAGGGTGGAGACATGACAATCTGAATGCCTCACCTGTGTGACGCTCCACCTGGACGTCATCTCTCTTATAGTCTCCGCACACTTTTGGCCAAACCCCTTTGGCCAGAAGAGTTGTTAGAGTGGGAGTGGTTTGTCGATTTAATTTATAGCAGATAGAGATTCAGTGAGTGTTTTTAGCTATGGAATAAAAACTTGCGGCGTATCTGTGGTTTCTTCTCATTTTATTCACAGCAGAGATACCATGGAGGGTAATGATGTGGTGTTATATTTTTGGCTTTGCAGAAAGACTGAATAATGTTGGGATGACCGAATCTCAGCAACGGTGAAGATAGAGCAGAGATGGAAGGCAATGAGATTATGTGAGAAATGTACTAACTTTATGTTTTGAAACACACTCAGATATTTGCATTACAATCCATTGTAATGTACAACATATTTAAACATATATACTTTGGTTCAGTCCACAAACCTTTTTCCATATATAGGCATGTTCATAGACATGTTCATGAAACATTTATGTGCTGCTTATAATTGCTAAATAGAGGGGATTGAAATAAAGTGCTACTGTTAATCATCCTGCATCATTAAATTGTTTTCCTGGCTATAATGGCCAATCATCCATCATCAACTCCGCTTGGCACGCCATGGCCATATACACATCCAAACCATTGATAATGAGCAGTATTCTAGAAATCATATTTCTAGAAATATTGCTTTGGAGAATGGTTTCACTTATATAATTAGCTACTCAAGTAATCACTCAATTCTGTAAACATAATTGTAACTCTGATCTATAGTATTTCAGATATCAGCTTCCCGAGGCTGCTACATTAAAATGACATTATTCTTCATGAACCATTGTGGGGAAGCAAACAGCCACAGGTATTGCAACACAGCCACATTAACAACAGATGACAGCAATTTACAGTTCACACAGCATGTTCCTTTTTGTTTTTGTTGCGTAGATTCCAGTACACTACTGGCACTGCAACATGTGTCTGATTTTGGCAGGGTTTACGTAGTTAAGTGATTTCCCCAAAACTTTCTAGTTTTGAGACACACAGTAACTGTAACATAACCAACTTCACCTGACTCAAAGAGCTTGCTGTACAAACAGAGAGGACAACCTCATGTATTAACAACCAACATATGTCTGGGGTTTGGAGGGAAATGAGGTCGTAAACCAATTCTGAAACGGCTACATCAATTCAGTGGCTTAGTACTCAAAGTAAGGGGGATGATTCAATAATATAATTAAGACGCTTTGTCAGTGGCAGAATTTACTTTCCATTTCTCCACATTAGAGTGTACATTATTGTCAGTAAAACGGTAAAAACTGACAGGAAGAACTCCACTTGTTAAACCTTGGGTAGAACCAGGCTCTGGGTGAGCGCCATCTGCGTCGACCTGTTGGGTTGAAAGAGAGAGAGAGACAGAGACAGAAACGTGTAAATATACATTTAACCTTAAAAAAAATAAAAGCTACGCTACGTTGTGACCGCCAGATTAGAGCGGTGGCCCTGAGCTAGGCAGTAGGGTATGCTCACATGCACTAATATGCACTATTATGCAGAAATATGCACTAAATGCACGCATGGCCAGCCCAGCTATGTACTGTAAACAAAGCAAGGAGAAGCTGGATAACAACAGACACAGAGGGAGAGCAACTTCATTCTCTGCACAGGTAAACATTACTATATCTTTACCTTGCTAATACTTGCTATATTAAGTCATATATTGTTCCTTTAAAATGTCTTTGACACAGATATTTATGACCTGATATGCAGTGTCATAATAAATCCAAATGTAGCGCCGGACTGGCACTGGCACATTATACACCCTGTGTTTTATTCATGGGCTATCACCTCAACATGATAAAGACTCAAACTGGGCTCACGGGAATGGCATCAGCAACTTTACAACTTGTCAAGTTTTGTGTAGAAATTCACAACAGTGAAATATTACCACAGGCCACTACACTGTAAACCTATCAAAGTACACAAAGAAACAACACTGGGTCATGGAGGGTCACTAAGTCAAAGTGTATCCAGTCTTTTATGATTGATTGAAACAGAGCAGCAGCTGAGCTAATAGTGCCCGTGATTTCCCACCGGCGTTACAGCCGGACCATCTGGAATATTGCAGTCTTCATGAACCGCTCTCTCTCTCTCTCAAACACACACACACACACACACACACACACACACACACACACACACACACACACACACACACACACACACACACACACACTCATAAACTGCCAAGCATTGAAATATTACTTTTCTTGTATGCACATAGTACAGCTTTGTTGACCTGGTGCATATTGCTCATGAGCAGGTACAAACAATTAGTTTACTTTGCAGTTGTTATGATTCTGGTTTGATTGATACATCCGATCATGAATTGACTGTTTTACACTAGTTGTTAATTACTTTACAGTGCTGAGGTAGTCGGAAAACTGGTTTAGCAAGGTGGAGAAATAGCTTCCGAGAAATATCAGGAGCGTTTCCCGTACTTCAAGCACATGATGCCATACTCCCTTTTTAACCCTCAGGATGCTAACTGTGTATGTAATACAAATGAGCACACATCCATAAGTAAAAAATCAAACCACAGTGTAGCCCATAATCTGTATGATGTGGTAAGACATCAGTTAGTATGTGAAATGTTTGCTTGCACTGCAAAAGTAATAAATATATTTCCCATCACGGTAGATACAGTATAACCATCCTCCACCGCCAGCACAATATGTATAATAATTCTGTTTTTTATGAGCCTTCACTGTCTGTGACGCAAACACAACATCCACTAGAGATTTGTTTTGAATGAAATTGATACCTACAACTGAAGTACTTCAGCATGCAAACATTAAAAAAACACAAGCCTATACTTACTGTATGTCATTAAATGATTTGCCTATGAAGCTTTGGCAACGTTTTTAGTTTTTACATCACTTTTCAAAACATCTTTTTTTTGTCTTATGTATTTTTTTGGACAAAACAACATCAATGCCAATACCAATTCCTAATTCCAATCCAGTACCATATCCATACCTTTAGAAAGGCAGATGCCAATTCCAATACAATACCAATACAATAACAACCACAACAGCAGTAGACAAAGTAAGTAAAGCTGTGAATCAGTATAAACTAAAGTGGTCTTTAATGTCCTGGATTCGTAATAAAAATGTCTAAACACACGTTGGACATCAAGAAAAAAAGTTGTTATTTCACAGATTTTCTGAATTCTGCCCCACTCTACGTCACAGGCTGAAATATTAAAACAACAAACTATGACGCATATCTAAACAAGGCCTGCCAGGTGCTGTCTTAGGCTTGAACATTTTGTCTACAGTTCTAACTTTAAGACTTGACATGGCTAGATTTAGATGCAGAGCTAAGACACACAGGTTTACAGGTTTACATTGAGATCACAGATGAGGTGAGATTAGGTGAGGGTTTGTGTGGTTAAAGGAATGGACATTTTGGAAAATATGCTTATTCATTCTCTCTCTGAGAGTTAGAGGGGAAGATCGATACCACTCTGGGAGAGCATTGCATTTCTATCCATAACAACACATATATGGGTAATAAAACGGTGGCAGCAGTGGTTGTAGTGGAAGTCAGGGGCAGACTTTACCAATAGGCAAAGAAAGGCAACTGCCTGAACCCCCAAAATCCATCTTCAGTAGCAGCATTCTTGTAGTAGTAATAGTAGTTACAGTAGCACTACTGGTATTTGTAAGACTGGGGGTGCTAGTAGTGGACGTAGATGTTGCAGTAACAGTCGTAGTTGAAGGAGAAGCAGGAGAAATGATTTGCTGTCAAATGATAAAGACACTTCTCAAGAGCTTTATATATAGACTTGTTAAACGTGTTCGGAAAAACCCTGAGCGCTCAGTGAAATAAGTGACGGTTTGGATTCCTATAACTCAGCTTGCACCTGGAGGACTCAGACAATGTGATAAGACAAGAGAGACATTGGACCCTTGCAGTCAGAAACACACAGAGTGAGGCAGGTGTGACCAGAGCAGTGTTGCTTTTTTAGGACATGCAGGTTTGAACCCTAATTTGTGTTTTTGAAACTGCCTTAAAAATATTGTCAATTATCATTTTAAAGAAACCCGGGCTAAAACTGTGACATAACCGCTACTGCATACTATACATCACATTATTTCGGTATATTAATCGCTTGACAAAAATAAATTTGCAATATCTGACCGTCTACAGGCCACTGACCAGTGGCCACTATCATTCTGTGGCAATTGCACATTTCTTGTGTTGCTGATCACGTGTGTGTGTGAGCTGCGTGTGGGTGTGTGAGAGATTTGATCACTTCGTCTGTCTCTATTGCATCAGAGTCACTTGCCGTGTTTAACGGTCACAGAATGGCAGGTGAATTGGAAAACTGACGGGTGAATGTCCCCACACCCCCCCACACACACACACACACACACACACATAGACACATACAAACATTGTTGACCATTAGTGTGTGAAACACTCGGCTACTCGGCTTATCAACGCGGTCATCAGTTGCTGATGAGTATGGGGCCACGTGTGTGTGTTTGTGTGTGTGTCCAGGTGTAGTGGGTTTACAGTTATAGCCAAACCCCTTAGATTAGTGAACATACGCAAATCACCTGTACACATGCAGGTTACTGGGAATTCCCCTAACACCTAGACAAAAAGGTGTGTGCGTACAGGTGTGTGCGTATGTTTGTATTGTGTGTCAAGCGATTTTTTTCTTTTGTATTTATATTTCCCATTAAGAATCATGACGGCCAAGACAGCTTTATAAAAAGTTTCACATGAAAGAAGCAATCCACAGGCTTAGGTAGCAGTGTTGAGTAATACAACATGTACATGCAGAGGTCAAATAGTCTTAAACCCTGTATGTTTTTATAATTTTCCATGCTTAGAAAATACTCTAGTTTAAGGTGACTCTAGAGCTCACACCAAGATGAGGGTACAACAACGTTGAAGGCACCAAAGACAGTGCAGGTTTGAGTAATGAAAAACATAATTTGTCTACATCATTGAAGGTTGCAGTTACTGATAGTTTCAGTAATCAGAAGAGAACATAAATAAGGAGGCAGTTTGTGTAATACGGCCTCACGAAGAAGCTATAAAGCCATAATCCACCAACAAACAAACAGCAGCATGGACTCCATACAGTTGAATATCTGAACTCAGTAATGTGTTGAATATTCATCGGTGGACATTGCACACATTTTTGACTGAATTGCATTAGATTTGGGAGCAAAAATTCTCATTAAATGTCTTTATTTCATGTTACTCCAGTTGATTTAAGCATTTGTACTACTGTAGGCCTGATGATGGTTTTAATGATTTGTGAGGAGCAACAGCTTTTTGGAAATCTGTTTGATGTTCACACGCATGGGCAGGGTCCCAGTGGAGGAACAGTCTGGCAGGTGAGGAGGCAGTTGGACATAGTGAGGTGTTGGATACGTGTTGTGTATTGGAGACACTGGCAAGTATGCAAAACCTGAGGTTGACCCCCCAACATCACCACCTCCACCACATATATCGCTCTCACACACTTCTGTTGCTTTCTTTGTCTGTATTTTTTTTTGTCTCTTTCTTCTTTGAACTCAACGTTTTTTTAAAAATCTATTGTTGTTGGTTCCAACTTGAAATTTTTTTTTTATTGTGCACTACTTTCTACAGTTTATTTTCAAAATTGTCATGCTAATTTAACTAATCTTAACAAAATTGCAGTGTGTACATAAATACATGTAATTTATACATAGTCACTGGCAGTGCAGTGGTCAAGTGGTCCTGGTTACAGAGGCTAACATACATCCCTCATATGGGAATGCTGGAGATATGGAATGGGATTGGGAACTGGTGGGAATTTGCATTCCCACGGATTGTTTGTGTCGTCCAGTAGGCAGTCCCACAATCTGTGGTCTCAATAAACAGTCATAAACAGACACAGAAACGCACATAAACCCACCATCCTTATCGGAATAACACATAAACTTGAGTGCAAAGACTGGACATAAATCATATGTTTTCACAGTGAGATAAGCACCAGACAAAGAGAGGCAGAGCAAGAGAGTGACATTTCTTCTGAGCTCTGGGGATAAAATAAAACATCTCCATGAGATTTTTCCATCTCGCTCAGAAAGAGAGCAATAAAGGGCCGGAGGGTCTTTGATGAGCTATTTTGAAATCAGTCCCTGTTGCACAGAGGAAAGCCCACACGCCACACTCAGGGAAACCATGCCTA